AGGGTTAGCATCCACCATGCTCCCCTGCCCCAGCCTCCCCCAGCATGCCAGCAGCTCCTGGGGGTGCCCGGAGATGGGGTACCCCACAGATGCTGCCTGCACACAGCCACTGACAGCTCCAGTGGGGTGGGGGACAGCCTTGCAGGCAGCCCCAGGCAGGACATGGACAAGGGGGGGGTGGGGGGTCTAGCCCCTGGCCACCCCCCTCCAGCAGCGTGTCCCCCTCAGAGCGGCACACTTTGTAGATGGCGTAGATGGGGATGCAGATGACAGAGGAGAGCGCCATGAGGAAGCCGATGCTGATGGCCCAGGTGGGGTAGACATAGTCATTGTAGGAGATGGGCCGGTACTGGATCACTGTGAAGATCAGGATGAACTGGGGAGGGACAGGCAGGAATTGGAGACCATCCAGCTTGCTCTGCCTCCCCGCAACTGCCCCGCTCTGCCTCATCCCTGCTGCCCCCCTGCAACCCAGCACCTCCTTCCCAAGTGTGGGGCCCGGGTGGGCTCCCAGCCCCCTCCTCCTGTGGCCCCATGCCCCATGGCCGTGATGCTCACAAAGATGATGGCGGGCGAGATGAAGCGCCAGCAGATCTGGAAAAAGAGCGGGGGCGGGAAGCCCAGCATCATCTCAATGTCCTTGAAGTAGTTGCGGTGCCCTGTGGGGACAAGTGGCCGTCAGCCCCAGCACGGCTGGTCTGGGGCCCTGGTGGAAACCCGAACCCCCTCCCACCCCTGCGCCAGCACCAGCTCCAGACCCCGGGTGATGGGACCCACAGATTCCTCAGGTCATGGCTGCCTTGATTGGCCAAAGGCCTTGCACTCCTCAGCCAGTTAGCATGCAGCAAACTGGTGATTGGTCAGAAGTTAGCACATCCCCTTCCCCAGTGGTTGGCAGGGGCACCCCTGCCAGCTGATTGGCTGGAGGCAGTTGCACCTACCATAGATGTACATGATGGCCACGCACATGATGCAGGAGATGATGACCAGGGAGAAGCTGGCGGCATAGTTGTCCATCAGCAGGAGCCAGTAGATGCCCGCCTGCGAGAGGGACTAGTTGGCACAGCTGCCCCGGCAGTACTGCCACCATTGGCAGGGCAATGGCACAGCCGTACTGCCAGGGCCAGCATGGCAACACACAGCCCAGATACCACCACCACGGTTGGCATGGCAATGCCTGATGGCAGGGTCGGCATGGCGACGCTTAGTCTGGATACCATTGCCAGTGTTGGCATGGCAACACCAGGCCCTGAGTGTCACCACCACCACCAGGGTGGTCATGGCAACAATAAGGACATGGCTCAAGGTGTCAGCGTGGCAAGGTTGCCATGGCAACAGCACCCCGTCACCACAGTCCCATGGTCACCTACCTGTGTGGTAAGTGGGACACCCAGCAGGAAGCCTGCCACGGCCACCCCCAGCGTCACAAAGGTCTTCCTGCGGATGATCCACTCATTGCCCACCTCGTCCACGATGGCCGTGACCAGGGTCTCCAGCAGGCAGAACTGTGCATGTGGTGGAAAGGGCAGCACATCAGCTCGGACCACCACCTTGTCCCCACCATGCCCCCCTGACACAGCATTCCAACCTGCTGGCCCCACCACACTGCCCCACCATGACCTACCTGTGTGCCCAGCCCCAGGAGGATGAGCATGAAGAAGAAGAGGATGGACCAGAGGGGCGAGATGGGAAGCAGGGTGAGGGCCTCAGGGTAGGCGACAAAGGCCAGACCAGGGCCGTGGTCAGCCACCTTGGAGACGTCCACACCCAAGTGGTTGGCCATAAAGCCCAGGATGGAGAAGATGACAAAGCCGGCGTAGACACTAGTGGCGCAGTTGGTGATGCTGATGATGATGCTGTCCCTGCAGGGAGAGGGATCAGGGTTGGTGGTGGGGCTGGGGAACAGCGGGGGGGTGCCGGGGGGCCGCGGCCGAGAACTCACCGGTAGCAGTTGTTGTGGAACTTGTTGTAGGAGGCCATGGTAATGAGCCCGCCCCAGGCACAGCCCAGCGAGTAGAAGATCTGCGAGGCTGCATCACCCCACACCTGCAGCAGTGAGGTGGTCAGTGCTGGTCCCCCAGCCCTGCTCCCCCCACCACGGCCACCCACCGTCCCTTGTCCCCGCTCACCTTGGCGTCGAGGATCTTGTCCCACTGGGGCGTCAGGTAGTACGCGATGCCAGTGAGGGCCCCGTCCAGCGTGATGCCGCGCACGAAGAGGATGGTGAGCACCACGTAGGGGAAGGTGGCCGTGAAGTACACCACCTGTGGGGCAGCACCACGGAGGGGCAGGCCTGGGGG